CACCTATGGAATCCCAGGGCGTGGATGAAAGTGAGGACTTACTGCCTTGGGAAATGTTCAGGCACAGAGCAGTAAAAAAAGCAGGCAGCAAGTCAGCCACCAGAAGCTCAAAATTCCCTCTTTTATTGCAAGTGGGAAAAGGGGATCCTTGTTTTTGACCACATGGCTCAGTAATGGGAAGGCAGAACAGAATGTGTGCAATGATGATGAAGAGGTGAGGGTGAAACAGCACAGGGAATTTCTTACTGAGGGGAAGTTTGGTCTCTGGGTTTAGGAACTGGTCATGGGATATGTGAGTTTGGTACCAACGCCCAACTGTACTTTACAGTTCCAGTCCATAAAACAACATTTCCACGCTCCAAGAATTTATTGGAAAGATAATTATATTCCTAAGGAATGTAGTGGCTACACACACTAAGCCTTACAGAGACTTAGATACTTTATTGCCAAATACTTTCATAGAACATACTCCAGAATTAACCCCTTGCCTGCCCTCCTGAGTGTATCTTCTCATTTACAGGTGCCCTTTCCAATGACACACAAAAATTTAAAGGCAGCTTTTTGTTGCTTTTATAGAATCATGGAATATTTTGGGTTGGAAGGGAAGCCTAAAGATCACCTGGTTCCAAYCCCCTTGCCATGGGCAGAGACACMTTCCACTAGACCAGGTTGCTCAAAGCCTGATTCAATGTGGCCTTGAATACTTCCAAGGATGGGGCATCCACAGCTTCTCAGCCCATGACAGTGTCTCATCATGTATTATCATTGCATCCAAGGGTGGTCACAAACTCTTCCTGCCCTTACATATTCTCACAGGTRATACTAACTAGTGAGACCAGAGACTTCAAAAACGGCTAACGAGTCAAAGTGCCCAGCCACAGTTCTCTCAAAACAGCCTAGTTTTCAGCATGGATTTTTCTGAAAATCAGACCCTATAAGATTGTCTCAGAGTGGGCCCACATGAAGCTACTGCTAAAACCCTTCTGCAAAAACACAGCTTCTGYATGCACCTCCTACATACACTGTAAGCCAGCTATTGTACAATGCAAAATTAGAGTACTTAGAAAGTAGCCTCTTCTTCCAACCTGTAGCAATTCATTCCAAAATCAACAATCTTCATAATATACTTGAGAATTTTCAAAATACTTTAGTGATGGGTTTTAACTAATTCATTTTCCCACAGAAACTGGTAATCTCCTACCAATTAAAACAGCATTTATCTAACTCAACTCTCAGGTGCTCCCAGCGATCACACTCAGAAGTCCCAGGTGAGGTAACAACCCATTGCAATCTTTTAGAAAATGATCTTTAAAGATAAAACTTATTATTAAGTAATAAACCCCTGATATTTATCTTGAAATGATGATATAGACATATAATAAAGCACAGATGTTCAACCAGAATGAAATCTTACTGTGTTCAGTATTAAGTGGTTTATAACCATATAYTTTATAGCATACAAAAACCCAAGCAAGTAAAGACAGTATGGTAAACCCGTACAGCATCTCAAATGACACTTAGATCAGTCCAAAAGAAACCCATGTGGGTCTTTAAAGACACCTCTGCCTACCACCTGACATTTCCCCTCTGGTTGGGCTCAAAAGCCTTATCTATGCGTCTCAATCTCCCTGTACCACCCATTTTCTGGATGAAAGACAACTTACAAACATTTAGGATCATTTTTGGTAAAATACACCACAAAAACATGCACTGCCACATTTAATATCACRAAAAAACTTGCAAATATGGGGAGACTTATGCTTGCTGTTTTTCTGGAATCTCCAGAAATAAATTCCACGGCTGAGCTTTAGGTGCCTCCTAAGTCTCTTAAACCATCTTTTCAACAAGGATTGGATGAAGCAACATTATCAGCTGATCCTCCAGTATGTGCTGTGTGCTGTCATGTATCATCTCCAGGGCCATCAGCACTGCTGGGGTTTCTAATCAAATCATGGTACATAAGAGACAAATGAGCAAAAATTCTTCCTAATTTAAAATGCCATTAATTTCATTAAAATTATATTGACTGTAGTAAGAGTCTGCTGTTTTTAGACAGTGCACAAACATGTAATTCCCTGTGACAAGCATACATRCAACAAAATAAAGACACAGAGATAGACTAGTTCCATGTCAGGGAAGTGAAAATGTCTGAAAGATATATCTACACAACATCAACTAACCCAAGTCATAAATCCAGGGAATTCAGAAAGGCTACAGAAGTGAAACAGATAACATGGCATGTCTCACTTGCTACAAGGAGGAATTGTGTTCTGAAAGCCTACACTGTCAAAGGTAGTGGCGAAAACAGCAGCAATTAATGCTCTTGGCTGCATTTGCCCAGCCTATCCGAAATAATTTCAAGGTCAGGCTTCATCCATCTTAATTTGTTTATAATTTTGCCAATGTAACTGCGATTAACTTACCAAGTTTCAGGCTGAACTACTTTGGGGTCAGGGGAGATGGGAGGAAAAGGAAGGCTAAGTCATGTGCTTCCCCTCAGACATTTAAATAAATAACTGCTGGTGATGCAGAACAATATTGCATTTAAAATAAACAGGAGTCAAATCCTATAGCTTAAACAACTAAAACATAGTTACTTTATTTCTTGGAAAGTAGCTGTCAGTATGAACAGTCCTATGCAAAAAAAAMCAGCTGAATTATGCATAAAACCCCCTGCTGTACTTTTTTACTTCTAGAAATGCAGCAGMAGCAGTATTTCCAGATCCTGAAAAAATGTAACTAGTTTGGGGGCAACCAAGGATGTTTAAATGCAAGCAAAGTTCTCAAACCCAAACACTTCCAGTTCTTTGAGCAAACAACAATTGCTTATGCCCAGAGCGAACAGCACCAATTYTGTAGGCTGCTTCAACAGACATCAGGCCTGCTTTGCTAAATAAACACTCCAAAACCAAAAGTATCTAGCAAATTCCCCATGGGAAGTTTCAAAACCAGAAGACACCAGAAATGGCTGTAGGCATATCTTCCACCCTGCAGGCACCCCTGCTTCCTGGCCAGCKAGCTCAGAAACTGATTCTCAGCTCCTTCCTGCACTGCCTGGAGTGAACTGARTTGCTACCTAACCCTGCTGAAATAAATCCCAGCTTCTGCCTCCCCACGCTGGCCCTGTGCTCCCACAGTTCAGTACAGATCTAAGATTTGGCTTTTTGTGATGCCAGCTCTGACTTCTACTTTTTCACAATATCAGCATGCATGCACACAGGTATCAGGCGSGTTCTGCTAATTAAAGTATGATGTTCTTCTCAAATGTCTTCATATAATAAACATTCAGTCCCTGGAAAACTGGTTTGGTTGAGATTTTGTTGGGTTCCAAGTACAACTGGGATGTGAAGGCCTTGTCAGAGTTGTAAAACCCATTGGTAAAGCCACATTACAGTCTTGCTTATTTATACAGCAGTGTCCTCACTTCAATGCTTTAGAGTTCTTGTAGTCCATTAATGTTTTTTTTCATAGAAATAATATTTGCAAAAGTGAAAAGCCTTTTCTGCCATAATAGCCTTGAAGCTAGTAAGTATTTTAGAGCAATTCCAGTACAATCAGAAGCTGTTATTGGCTGTTTACATAACAGTGAATTAACCCCCACCGATACCTTTCAGGAATTCATAACCATAGCACACAAAATGTACTTTGCAAGAGCTTGTTAATATATGGTAAATGCAAAAGCCGTCTTGATTCAGAAGACTGGCTTTCAAAGCAAACATGCTTAACCTGCAGTTTCAGTCATGGAAGAAATTACTCAATTAATTGCAGGCAACAAAAACAACAGGGTTATAACTAATGTACAGTAAATGCTCTGTGGGTGTAACACAAGCTCATTTCCCAGTAGTGTTCTCTCTTACATTTCTTACTCCACTGCTGTAAAACTGTTCAAGAATGTTAAATTCACTTAAGACAGTTTTCCCCACACACATCTGTTTTCTGGCAATGAATATTATTATTAACACAAGTAGGGTTTGCTCTCTTAAGAAGCATATTTACAAYATAGTAATTTGCAAAACAGTATTTTTTGTACTCTATTCTAAACCAGACATCATCTTTTCCAAAGTTAAAATTGAATATCAGAACTCATAAAGTTTTTGCCTGCACTTACGATGTCCTTGCAGCAACTAAGAAGAGACCACAGTGACTGGGTTCATTAAATTCTCACCTGCWTATAGGAATTCCAGCAGGCAAAGAGTAGCAAGATCAAAAGCACAAGAAGACCCCACCAGAGTTGACTGCTCCCATTCTGACACTGAGGAAGAGCCAGTGTAAAACACTAATAATGATTAAAGATAACGGAAAGGAAACTTACCCAAGCAGACACTGATGCCTTCTCCCGTCATTCCTTCCATTCATGTAAAAGACATCTGTCAATTAWTTGATCTAGGCTTGGTATCAGCATAGGGTTGGTACTTGGACTCACTGCTTAGAGATTCTCAGGGTGTGTTTATGTGCACAGTTTATGATTAAAACGCTGACAACTAAATGTGATAATAAAATATGCAGATGAAGGTTATAAGAATCCCCTTCCAGCACCTGCCATGCAGTTCTCAGCAGGCACTAGGAATGCTCATAAAGAAGGATGCCTCCCGTTTCCATCGAGGCCAATTCCTCAAACCCACCTCCCTCAAGCCTTGCGGTATTTTTCTCATCCTGGCCCCCATGCGAACGCATCTAATCCTCTTATCCCGAGAGCCACCCCCCGCCACCTCCCTCTCAGCTTTATTTTATTTAAAACGATGCCTGCAACAGCCCGGGGCTGCCCGCCGGGTTACCCCCCCGGGACACCTGGCCGACCCTGCCACATCACGTTAGGCGCCGCGATGTGCCGGGTTAAGACGTAATCTCTGCCTCTCCCCCGGCTTACGGATCCCAGGAATCCTCCCCCGCTATCTCGCCATGGCAACGGCACCACCGGGAGGGCGCGGGGCCGCCGCTTACGCAAGAGGCGCGCGCCGGGCCCCGCGGCAAGGCCGGGCCCCCCCCACCCCCCCCCCGCGGCAGCGCCCTCAGGGCGGCCCGGCCCGGGCTGCGGCCTGCGGGGACCTGTGGGTGCGGGGCTCGCTCGGGGACTTCCCACACACCTTTTTTTTCTCTTTCCCTTCCCTCCTTTTTTTCTTCCTTTTTTTCTCCTTTTTCCCCGCTTTTTCCTTTTTCCCCTTCCTTTTTTCCTTCCTTGCCCCTTTTTCTCTTTTCTGTTTTCCATTTTTTGTTTTACTTCCCCCCTTTTTCTTTTTTTTTTTGTTTACCCCTTTTTTATCCCTTTACACCCCTATTTCCTTTTTTCTTGCCTTTTTTTTTTCCTTCCCATTTTCCGCCTTCTTTATTTTGTTTTCCCCTCTTTCTTCTTGTTCCCTCCCCCCTTTTTCTTTTTTCCCCTCCCCCCCCTTTTTTTGTAGGGTTGATTTGTTTTTTTTTCCTGTCCTGTTTTTTCTTTCCGCGCATTTCCGACAGCCAACCAAGAACCAGCTGGTGCAGATTTAACCCGCTCCAATCCCATCTCCCACCATGGAAAACTAACCACAGCCAAGCCATTGGACAACGCGCCAATTCCCATTCCTACTTCCCTGGGAACAGGCGCAGCAGAAAAGGGTTTTCGCCTTTGAGTTCTTCAAATTAATAACCCTGGCAAGGGCAGAGAGCCGGCAGATGAAAGGCAAGGTATGGACTTTGATCGTGCAATCGGAGCCATGCGGGCAGGCTCCCGAACCATGTGGAGCACCCCTGAAGGTCAGCCTGGACTGATCAGATTGCAGCAAGAGAGCCRCAGAAAGCAGGGCAAACCGAGGTGGAAAAATCTATACACCCAGATATCTGCCAAGAGATGAAAGAAAAGTTTGCWTCTGATGCTGGGATTTATGAATAAGGTAAATGAAGCTGTAATCTAACACTTGAGATGCTTAGGTCTTCCTTCAGGAAAACACTTAAGCATGTGCTTAAACTCATTACTATTCAAGGCAGCCCATAAGCGTTTGCTGTAGGTTAAGCACTACCTTCTTACAGGGAGCCCTTAAGTACTATGCTGATTAAGGTGGAGTTTTTTTTTCTTCTAAATCTAAACCACTGTGAACCACAAAATGAATTGCCCTCATTATATTTTAATATTGTCTCTGTCTTCTTTCAAATTAAACCAGAGAATGCAAACAGAAGGTAAGTCTTATTTTACATTAAGAGGATAAAGCCCAGCATTACATTCTCTTGTGTTCCATCTTTTTCCTTTAAGATCAACTGGCTGCACAACACCATGCATCCCTGTGAATGMACACCTTTCATGAGGAAGAGCGAGCACATGGAAAAGTGATTTCTCTGCTACTMCTAAGTTCTGGAATTCCCTTGAGGTACTGTTACAAGCCAGAAAGGATCACACAGAGCACTGCAYACATACATATGCCTTATTCCCGGATCTCTTTTAAAGCAGACCTGAAAAAGGCTGTAGATGGTGTACACATTTCAGCTATTAAAGGTCATGGATAAGACAGCTATTTATCAGTTCAAGTAAGGTCAGTGTTACATRCACAGGCAGGGAACTCTGCCTGTTGCGCAAATGACACTGCCTGCCCTTAATGTCCTGAGAAACTTTTGACAAGCTAAGCATATGTAACAAGCCACAAACCTTACATCCAACTGCTGCGGTTCATTAATGTTCAACAGGAAGGTATCATATCTGAAACAGGTTCCGGGTTCTGTTTCTGTATCACAGCACATTTCCTCTCCTCCAAGCTYTCCATTGGTGATTTCTGACAAAGAAATTGTATCCCCTGATGGAGGAGGAAAGCTCACTAACTAGTAAATTGGTGGTCGTAGCTTTTCCCAAGAACCATTCTCCTTGCTGCCATTTAGGAATATTCTGCTCCACATACTGAACTATTGGTTCATTTACTTTCTTTATACACAAAGAAAAAGAGACCTTGGAAAACAGTTTGTGCCAGTTTTAAGACTTCTGCTGGAGCTAAAATCAGGATCTTGGTTGAATTCTGTAACACACCGTTTTGGAGAAAAACATTGTTACATAACTCTTCTTTTTCCTTTTCTGGGAGAAAACCTTCRTAGGAAAGCTTATGAAAAACAGTAAAATCTTCGATTGCAGGTCTTGAGACAGATGGCAAAGTACGAGGGCAGAAGGTTACAGTAAGGTCAGGGTTTTTCTCATTTTTATTAGGTATATCCAAATGTTACAGGCAAGCAGGAACACTTCTGCTACACTCACCTCCAAGAAACGCCATTTCATTTGCAGTAATTTGTCCKGTTAAATCCTGAGCTAAAGGCAGTATCCTCTTCCTGAAAACCTTATTACTATAAACAAGTAAGGACAAAGTAACAAAGAATAATCTCAAATGTCTGTCCATAAATAACCAATCTACCTTTCAAGAACTAAAGGTCTCACCATGTTCCTATACTTGGCATGGGAACTGGGCAAAAGAGATGAAGTTTGAAACCCAGATACCACAACTATCCTTACTCAGCTCTTCAGCTCTTCAAAGAGGAAAGCAAACTCAAGAAGTAGTAGGTTGGATCTTAGAACCATTTAATCATTCAGGTTAGAAAATACCTCTAAGACCAYSGAGTCCGACCACTAACATGGTGCTGACAAGTCCCCTAWGGAGCTATGTCCCTAGGTACCATGTATACACATCTTTCAAATACCTCCAGGGATGGTGACTCARCCACTTCCTAGGCAGCCTGTTTGAATGCTCAAGAACTCTTTYGTTTTCTCATTATAAACCCAAACCAATAAAAAATTGTCATAGAAACAGTTAAGCAAAGGCCACAATCATGCTTCACAAAAGTGCATTCAGCTGTCCCTGGATAGTGAAATTATCCACGAACTTTACAAAGTGACTCCTTGGGTGAATGTCATAGGATTTCTGTTAATTATAAGAACAAAAAAGGGGAAAAATTAGATGTTCAAAGTCTTTCTCACTGTTCTCACAGTTTAAATACCTGTAGGCATTAAATCAACACAAGTATGATGAAGAAATTAGTAAGTAAACAACCACAACATTCACTGCTGCACAAGGAAGCCTGAAACCAAAGAAAGGTCAATATGAATGATCCCAACCCCAAATYTGCAAACCAAACCTAGAAGAAAATRCCTCCTTAYGTAAGRTCATAGCAGGCTGTCCYGTCCCGCTTGAAAAGAGGGAGTCGGGGAGGATTCTTTTAATAGATTTCTTGGACAAAAAGTAAAGTGCAAACGCTGCAATATTATATCTAAGAACTGTTTATTGATAAAGAAGGGTAAGCGTTCCTACCACTTCCTACCAAGGAGGATAGAAAAGGGAACGAAGAGGGAAAAACAGAAATGGAGAGAGAGAGAATAGCAGACAGATTGTTACCGCTGTACCCCGGGCACCCCGTCAGCTCGGCAGAAGGAGCGTGTGTGCTGCGAACCGCGAGGAACCTGCGCGGCTCCCGAGGCGGGCTGGGCGCGATTTCCAAACAGCAGCGGCTGCGTGTCCCTCCCGTCGGCAGAACTGCGGCGACTGCGGGTGGCGACGGTGAGCAGCCTGGCTCTGCCGTCGGCAAACACCGGCTGCGGGCAGGCTGGGGCTGCGGGCACTGCCGGACACACTGCAGCGACTGTGGGCGGCGGTGGCTCCGGGCGGCGGAGGCAGATCCTTCGGGGAGGTAGCAAACACGAGGTTGTCGCGCTGACGAGCTGCCTCGGGGAAGCGGCAAAACAGGGCACACGGACAGGACAGGTRCGGACAGGACCGCAGGAACGAAAGGAAACAAAAGGAAAAGCGGGAGCGACGAGGACGACGACGACAGCCAAGGTGATCCTCCAGACGGGTCCCTGCTCTCTCCAAGCACCCCAGAGGAAAATGGTCCCAGTTGTGTCGCAGTTAGCTGCTTTTATATGTCTCGCCCTCCTATAGCGTGGTTTCCCGCGCGTTTTTCCGCGCGCTGTTTTCCCGGGTATCCGGGCATCTGGCCCACCAGCAAGGGGGGACAGGGCGCTTGAAGAGCAGTAGGAGAAGCTGTCTGTGCCATGACTGGCTGCCAGGCATGTCATGCCACCCTGACATGAGGGGTCAGGGACGAGCTCCCAGCACATAACACATGTTGAGGCATAAATAAAAATCAGAGTGGTCTCTCTCACAGGCCCCAAATGGCTTCAAGACAAAGCGTACGTGAACCACTCTTCTCTGTGAAGGCTCACAATTAGATCCTCAAGTTACCACCACTGAGTTTTCTCCAGAGAAGCAGGACCTTGAAGAGAGCATTCCTGCTGGCACCACATTCCCTGCAATGACTGGCAGTCTGTGGTAAGCACATGAACTCCTGCCTCCTTCCCCAAAAACAKGCACAAAATGAAGGATGCTAACAGTTTCCAATGTCATTAGGCACTGGAGATCACTGCACCTTGTATCTCCCTACATTTACTTCCTTCTTGGAGGATTATTTTAACAAACTATTAAGAAGTTAAYTAGCAATGAAACACAGATTACAAACTGAGGATCACAATTTTCTAAAGCTGAAATCCCAGTCTCTACCACTGGCGTAAAAGTCCAAGTGACGAAATGAACCTTGAACTTTGTTGCTTTACTCATAATTTTTGGAAACAAAAGAGTATCTYGTCCCAGACACCGCAATTTAGCAACTTCATCTGTATACATGTCAGAAAAAAGGAGCCAAAAGCTTCAGCCAGCCAGTAACCAAACGAGCATTCTCCTGATCAACCTCACTGACTGGAATCGCACTTGGAAGGGACACACACCAGCRCAGTTACTGTCACACCACCCAAGTCAGGCAGAAATTCCAATCCAGTGGTCTCAAAAAGTGGGCCACATGAGCAGCAACCAATCATCTAGATACAAAATGAGTGGGAGAATAAAAAGGAGAAACTATTTACCACCAACAAGTTCAGCAGAACTCAGCCTGCATCATCCTGTTAGCTCTCCCAGTGACATCCAGAAGCGAGTGAGCAGGAGAGATGACACAGAGCTTTGAACTGGAACTCACTGGCAGAGGAAAGGGAGGGTTCACAAGCCCTTCACAAGGGCTGTAAAGACTTCCAAAAYCCCCAAAGGAATAATGGATACCTTGTACATGAGTACTGGTTCTCTCTCTAACTTCAGCCATATCAACTCCTCCTGAAACACTAAACTCCATTTTATTGAAATAAAAAGGGTAACAAAATCTGTGTATTCCTGATGTAGAACATTCAGTTGCCACAAAAGACAACATTGCAGGAAAAGAGAACTATTTAACTAAGTGYTTTTCTAATTTTTTTATTCAAGGTAATTCCAAATAATAAGCAGGGAAAGGGAAGTTCACTAKGTTATCCAGGTTCATCCTAAATTGAATTGCAAGATATATTAGAAACAAATAGCACTTCACTTTTAATGTGATTAAATAAAAATTCCTACATGGGTTTGAAATAATCCTAACTAGACTTTACAATGGTATTGTCCTGTTACATTGTGATTTAAACCAGGTATAATGCAATATTGAATCATATTCAAACAAGGTACCTAAACCAATTTAAACTATATTTAAAATGCAGTATTTTTACTACTAAAGAAACCTACCAGAGGAACAACATGCTTGGAACATCTGTCACAGTGATTGAAAGAAGCCTATAACAGGAAAAGCAAACAGTTATTTTCTTTCCTGAGTTGATGTCAATCTGTTGAAGCAAAGCACCAGTGAAGTAGATTGTTTCTAAGAGGTACCTCACTTTGGCCTGTCTTCTCCAAAACAAAGATGATTAAAATACCCCCCTGCTGCATAACCTTGTCTGCTTGCTTGTTATTATCTGTTGTCTCTGTATCAGGGGAAAAACTCTTTGTCAAAGCTAGTAAGCATGCTACAGCATTATATGAAAAAAATAATTCATTTGTTCAAGTCTAAAAACCTCCACCTAATGAAATACAAATTTTAACATGCATCAACTATTATTTACATTTAGACTATCAACTGTATGACTCAACACAATCCCTAAGATTCAAACTTCTGAGCAAGACTGTCTGTCACACAGCATGTTCTGCAGTGACAATCAGAACTGCATGTATTAATGACACAACTTTGCAGTTACTTCATGGAAGATAACGCCAGAATGGCTCTCACTCTGTGCTAATCCTGGTTCTCCAGGATGGATTTCTAGGTGGTGCTCCAAAGCAAGGTTCTTTCCTACAGTAAGTGTCTTGCCAGCCCTGACCACACAGAGGTGGAGAATGAAGGTGAAGAAGGAAGGAGTCACTGGGGGTAGTGATTGGGCTCCCACTGGGAACCAAGTTACAGGAAATGGAGATGTCAAGCAGCAATGAAATGACTCATAGGATTCATTACAAGTTCTTGGTTTATCACTGTCATGGCTCCAACTGTGGGCAACCAGCAAACAGTACAACTTCTCATTGTCATCAGGGTAAGGTTTCAACCCCATTGCCCAGTGGAAGCCACGCGCATTGCTCTCCTTAACTAGGATCTACTGGGACCCTTAAATCAGGCACAAAATACACGATTAAGAGTGGTCTGTTACTCCACATCACCYGTCTGACTGACACCATCAGCACACAGCTGAGGCAGGCACGTCTCTCCTGAGCTCTGATACAATAAGCCTTGAGGCTCAGCTGGAAGAAGATAGGTCTGGTAGGCTGCCAGCATGAGAGCATGGATGCCTTTAATAACCAACAATAGCACTGCATGACATGAGGCAACACAGCCTGCAACAGGCCCGAGGCGGCWGCGCTCACATGGCCTGGGTTTCCCTTAGCTTGGTGCTAAACTTGGTTCAGGAGAGGCAACCAGCACCATTCCTGGTGCTCTCAGACCAGCCCGGGAAAGAGCTTCTCATCAGGTCACAGCCCTGCCATGAGGCTGCCGAATACGGAGCACAGCCACAGCTGAGAACTCCAGTGGTTTTCTATTCAAACAAACAAAAAAAAAAAACAAAAACAACAAACCAAAACAAACTGTGACATAGTTTAGAAATGTTGTGATAGGAATTACGATGGGGACTTCAAAAAAAGCAGCCGAGCAGTTTGTGACCAGTGAATATGGATGTAAAAGCTTTCTGAGAAACTTCAGTATCAAATAGCTAAAACAGAACCAAGTATCAGCACTCAAGAAGAAATTACTGAAAATTGCTGTAAGAAGGGTGTGAAATGCCAAAGGCTGTTGATTATTTGAAGGAAAAAATAACAAGCAAGGACAGGGATTCTTACATAATCAATGGAATAGTTTGAAATCCTATTTCTTTTTTATATGTAAATATTCCTGTTAACATGTATTGTTTTTAAAAAGCATTCAYAAGACATTTATACATAAAATACAAACTTGAAAGCAGAATTTATCCCTCTGCATAGTGTTTTCTTGTAGATACAGGACTGTCTACTTCAAAAGGGACTGCTACAAAGGAATCATTATTAACTTAACTTCTAACTTAACTTCCAGCATCAAAAGTATTTCATGTACCAATAAAAAAAAAAAAATCAAAATTCAGCCACAATTGGGAATTTGCGTTGAGTTCTTTTGCAAAAAGTTCAGGAAAAGCTGGTGGCTAACTTGATGGGGTGAGACTTGCCTTATTGCACCCAGCTCTACCCATGGCTCAAACCCTCCTGTACCTTTATGAAAAACTGATGGATACAGATCCCACCTTCCTGAGAACAGAGATCTGATTTGACTTTGCAAGCACTGCTCCTTCCTTTGAGCTCCCCAGGGGCATGCCAGCTCCCCACCTTCCTGAGAACAGAGATTTTATTTCACTTTGCATCCACTGCTCCTTCCTCTGAGCTCCCCAGGGGCAACCAACCGACCTTGCTCCTGCTCTTTTTACCCTTCCCTAAATTTCAACTGAGGGACTTCAGCAAAAGCTATGCATTTTAAACTGGTGGTGTAGAGACCTTTGCAGAGCAATAAAAAGGTAGGACAGGACTTTCTAAGTAGGTAGCACAGGCAGGGCTTCTTTTTGACTATTCATTTTAATGCTGCAACATGGTTTTRTTGTAGTATTAATAATGCAGGAGAGCACCCACAGTTTTGTATAAGCATCTTTTTGAATTATTTAGGACAAAATAACATGCAAACAGTAGTTACTCAGCATTTCTGCAAACTGTGCAACTCAAGATTTTAGCAGTGATCACAGAACATGCTACACAACAAATAATGTGGTCACCAACATGCAGTCCTTGAAAGATGAAGCACGGGTGAATTGTACAGGTGATTGTCCCTTGGTAGCAGTGCACATGCTCAAGAACAGAAGCAAAGTAGGATTATTAACTGCACTACTTTGTGGATTGAGCTGGTTAGCTACTTAAAAACACAAAACAAAAAAGCAACCTCAACCCCCTAACCYAGACCACAGCATAGCTGGAAAAGATACACTAAATTGAACAATATATTTAAATTCCATTTTTGCCATTCTGGTTCAAAATAGCCAAAGGTGAAAAACCTAAAGGGATATAAGTTCCARCATTGTCCTATATTTATTATTTCAACCCAGTCCTTGACCAAGTCAGTAATAGCTGGATCAGACATTATAAAGGAATATAGCTGATATTTAACAATATGGTTTGGCACCCACCATGGAGCGCCCTTCCCTCCTGCATCCCAAATCCACCCCAGCCTCTGGTCCTTGCACAGGTCTGTGAAACCACACCCTGTCATGCTGAAGATGGAAGCAGCGTGGGGTAGCAGGTTTGAGAGAGTTCTCTYCAGGCTAATGAGGAAATGTTGAAACAAACCAGGGTGCAGTCATGGCTGTGTGACTCTCCGAAAGAAAGCATTTAGAAACAGATTCATAAACAAGGGGATTGTGGCTGTCAGTAGGGGCTTAAGACCCATAATCGGGATCAGACAACACAATGCGAAGCAGGGCATTCACCACAGCACTTACTACACTTCTGTCCTTTTACCAGCAACTTCTGCTGACTCAGGAGCACAAATCACTGACATCCCTCCCAGGAGTGCCTCACACACACTCCTTTACACACACACATACATAATATGAATGTGGAAAGGAGTTTGACAGAACAAGTAAATGTCAAAGAACTTGAAAAAAAAAGTAAGTTCCATGCTTTAACCACCTCTCTTTTTTATAAATACTCTCATTAAGTGCTACACTGAACGAAAGCAGCTGAACAAACAATCTTGGGATTACTRGAAAAATACTGTGCTGAAATTTTGCAGGATTTTAGCCCACTACAAAAACCCATGTTTTTTTTGTCCAATCTGGAAGACAAGTTGTTTCAATGAGTGAGGATTTCCCCTCTTTTCAGGAAGAAAAAATTCATTGTGCGTGTTTAGAACATAACCAATAACAATAACCAAAAGCATCATGGGACTTGCTCTGCATAGGTCCCCACTCCGGATACTCCAAGGCAACACTGCTATTCCATATTCCACGTGGGATAAAAAGACCACAAAAAAAAGTCTAAAGTAACACTTCTGGAAATGTACAACATTATTATTGCTATAAGAAAATTCATACACACAAAGACAACTGAATTTAACTAAAGCTTTATACAAAAATCACTTTAACTGAAATATTTTCCATAAGGAAGATGAAAAGGTAACACAGAAAAAGCAGCTTGGCCTGCAAAGTGACAGACTTCAGCAGGCACCAGAGCAAGCAGGCAAATGTTAATGTTAATACTATTAAGAACACTGTCTTGCATATACAAGCAAAACATTTCTTTGGCAATCTCCTAGCCTCAAACACTTTATAACCTTGATACCCAAACTGAACTTCAGCACATTTTATGCCAAAATCCCTTTGGCATCTGCTTTAGTAACTGTCAAAAAAATATTCCACTGTTCCAATGTTCTGTCCTTTTTTCTTAGTGAACTATCTACTCAGGTATTTAATCAGGTAGTTTTCCTCTAAAACATTATTAACCCTTTTTCTATTTCACTATCCCAGGCCAGCCTCACAACCAGGTTTCTGTCTTTCATCGACTGCCCAACTTGCACTTTCCCAGTTAGGCAGGAGTTCTGTGGAAGAGAGCTAGAGGTTACAGTACACAATACGCTAGATAAGC